GATCTCCTGTTTGATATTTCTCGTTATTTCCAGTGCATTACTTCTAAGGGACTAGCTTTCTAGTTAGACCTTCGGAAATCATAAAGGAAAGATTCATTATAGTCCATTATCAAGTTTAGATTTGGAGTCATTATCGCTTTTTTTGGATTTGACTAGTCATTATTGCTTTTTTTGGGTTTGACTAGTCATTATCACTCATTTTGGATTTGACTCCAAATTCAAAATCACTTGTAAATGGGCTTGATTTTTCCTTTATAGTTTCTTCCGTAGAAAAGAGCTTGAAAAAACTCATTTCTTGGGTCAAGTCATGCTTGCTATCCTTTATAAGGGCTTGAAAAGCTCATTTCCCAGGTCAAGTCATGCTTACTATCCTTTTTTGTTTATGGATTTAGTGGACGTAATCATCACTTTTGGGACAAAAAGATAAGAAAATGGAAAGGTAATGTGAAAAGAGCTAATAAAATTGGAGTAAAAAAGGTAAAAAGATAATAAAATTTGGTTAGGTTCGGTCGGACATTATGCCGAGCCTATTGCGTCTTAAATTATCGCATACTATTTTAGTGATGTTTGGTGATTCATAAGGCAAGTCTACTCCTTCCCTTGAGGTAACTCGATGATAAGGAGAAGGCGTTGTTTGTCTTTTGTTTCATTTTATTGAGCTCTTGTCTATCGCTTCTAAGATCATCATGCAACAAATTTGCAATGATTGATGATTTGAGGATCAAATCTACTCCTCCTTTAATCATCTTCATGATAGGGAGGGGTAGAGAGGATAAATATCTCTTGGAAACACTCTGTTTTAGCTTTGTTGTAGCAGAGTATTTCCCAGAAGTAGTGGCCGGCCGGTCATCATTTTGTACAGCCGACCACTTCTCAAGGCCGGCCGGCCACCTATTTTGTACAGGTAGTGGCATTTTTGCGACAGTGCAGAGCAGAATCTGATGCTAAAACAAAATTATTTTCTGATTACAAATAGAGCAAATTCTGGCAACAAACATAGAGGTTTTCGGAGGTTGTTCTTGGTTGTGTGCATGTGTTTTTTTCGCCTCCCGTTCGAATACATTAGATTAAAAGCTTTCATATTTGTATGTTGTAATTAATTAGTTGTTTTGCTTTTATTAGAACTTGTAAAATTTAATTAGTTTAGTCAATTCGTTTGTTGTTGTGATAATTAGTTTAATTAGGACATTCATTTAGACCTTCTTGTGCGAGGGCTAAATTTGTAATATTTGTATGTCTTCCAACCTCCATTTCTTTCTCTCTTTTATTTTACATACATACTGTGGTAGCGTCATATTTTTGTTTCATATCATTGCCATGCGTTGTATCCATTTTTGCATGCATTGGGTTTGGTTCATTATTCTAATATCATTGTCATTTTCTTTCTTACTTGAATACGTGTGTTACCACATGCTTTGAGTTGATCCATATGACCTGATGAATAAGCCAAACATAGTAGGTGCATTTTGTATGTGTTGCATTAGTCACTTTGCATATTGGAGTATGCATTTTTTTCTAATTGTTTTTTTTTTCTTTGGCTTGCCCCGATTGAGTACTAGGTGAACATTTTTTGCTTTAGCATATCGCATGTATGTTTGTGTTGCCATATCAAGCATGCTACCATGAGGCTAAGTGCTTATTTGAACTAACTATTTGAATGCCTCTGGATGAAGGCTATGACGCTTAAGTTGGGATGATTTTGATTAATGTGTATATGAGCTTACTTTTTCAAGTAGCACATATTCAAAACTCTTTTCAAACAAACATAAAATCAAAGTATTCCAAAGTGGGTGACGTAGTCTATACTTGTGTGCCTCACATAGTAAAGTTAGCATTAATAATCAGAACAAGAGCATATAATGTACATAAAAATCACATCATGATTAGTAAAGGCCGATCTTTGATCGGGTGAGTGGGGTGCTCAATTCATGATCTTCCCCTCTCATACCCAAATTTCCGAGTTAAGACACTTTGGTTATGACAGACAAGTGGTCTTTAGCACAAGTCACGGGTTTCCTAAATTTTTAAAAAATACTTAGGTGGCGACTCTGAAATTTGACAATGTAGTCCATTTTTGGCATCTCTAATGATAAATGGATTTTTTTAAAGATTTGTTGGATTTGGACTCTCATTTGTGCTTTTCTGTTTCACACTGCATTTGTGAAACCAGATTCAGAATTATGAGAGTCCGAACTGTAGTGCTATCGTATTCGAGGAGATTAAACCCCTCCGAGGAGCACGATGAAACAACTACAGTTGGGTTTTATCATAATTAACTCTCAATTATATTCTTGCTTTCCTTTCTTAACCAATTGACTTGTGTGGATTTCTACCTTAATAATCCTTAATGAGGCCTAACTCATGCTTAAAGACGCTTGTGAAAAGATGAGAACAAAAATATGAACTTACAATAATTTTTCAAAATATGTTGAAACAAAGCAGTTCGCTCAAGTGGTGACCACGGGTTCTCAATACTTTGGTCTGCAAAAATAGATTTTGGTTGACCTCAGTGTTCACTCGAGTAGTAACTTGACCGCTCGAGCAATTTGCAAATTTTTGGGTTCCGAAAATCAACAAAATAGTTTCCAAACACATTTTCAAAACTTAGACTTATGCATGACTTAAACATGTAATTTCATTAAGAAACATGAATCCATGACAAATTTCAAATCCTAAAACCTCTGATCTGTCAAGATTAAAACCAAAACTTCATGAATATAATGATTTCAAAACTTTTCTTCCTTTTTTTCTTACAAAACATGAAACGAAAGCTATGAAACTCTTAGAAAAATATTTGCATGTCGAAACTTGCAATTGAAATTGTATAATCCTTAGAAAACATTTGCATATATGAAATTTAAATCAAAATCAAACCAATTCTTGATTGTCAAACTCAAATCAAAATTTATTTCTTAATTTGTCCAAATTTAGATTTTGTTCATTTTCTTCATATCAAGCCCAATTTCAAACTCATAAATTCTGAAACATAAATTAAACTTCCAAAATACATTTTCAATACTTGAGTTCATACATGGCTTGTCTAAAAACATACAAACTCTTTAATAATCAACAAAACATGATCAATTTGAAACCATTTACATCAACACTTCTTTAATTTTAAGATTAAGCTCAAAATGTTTATAGACTCATAATTTTTCAAAACTTTATTCTTCTTATTTCAAAACATGAAACCAATCTTTCAAATCTTTTAGAAATCCATAATGTATGTGCAATTGAAACTCAAAATTTATTGGATTTATTCATGCATGTAAAAATGAAACTCAAATTCATGCAAGACTACAAAAATTAAACCCAAAATAGTTAATTTTCAAATTTATTTCCATAATCTTAAACCTAAATTTTCTTCATCTTCCTGATAATTTCTTTTTAATTACATAAAATTGAAGCTAATTACTTCTTGATTTCAATTTTTAACTAAATTGTTTATAAGATTTAAGTTTTGATTTCTTACCTAAAATCTTTAATTTGTTGAGTCTCTTGATAAAATTTTGAGTTTCTTTCCTTTATCTTCAATTTCTTGGTCTCTCTATCTCTAGGGTTGAATTTCCAACAATTACAAGAAAGTCGAGTCTCTCTCTCTCTCTCATGGTTTTTCCCCAGCCAAAACAAATAGATGAATAGGCTCCAGTACACTACACCCCTTTCTTTATTCCATTCTTTCTCTCTTTTTTTATATTAAAATGGTGGGACACCTGTTGTCCACTGTAAATTAAACCATGTGGTCATGTATATTAGTAGTATTAATTTAGCACACTAATTATATATTAGCATAATTAATCATCACTTAATCTTAATTAATTATGATTATTCCACAACTTAATTATTTCGATTAATCTCCATTAAGGCTTAATTTAATCATTCTTAATTTTATCATTTTGAATCAAATTTTTAATCAAACTCTCATAAGGCTCAATATATAAAATTAAACTGATTCAACTCATCAATTATATTTTCTTTAAGTCATCTTAGCTTTCAATTTCTGTTTCAAAATAAAATTCCCCATTAAACGAATCACTACATGAATTCTAATTAAGCAATTATGTCTAGGTCCAATCAATTAAATTAATTCTTAATTTTTATTATTAGATTAATCTCAATTAAGCTAATTTAATTTTATGTAATTTCGTTAATCTTAATCAATTTTTCAACAAAAATGTCTAAAATGTTTTTCACGTCAAATTAATGCTATTGGGCTTCTCAATTAATATATCTAAGGTGCATAAACGGTTCAATTTCAACTCCGAAGTTATTCCTTAACTTAGTTTGATCCATCAAAATTTATACAAAGACTTCAAAATTGATATAATTTTCCTGAGTCATCACTACAAGAATTTACACATTTGGCGACTATTTTTGCTGATCAAAAAAATTTTAGTCGCAAAAAAATGACATTTGGCGACCAAATATTAATTAGTCGCGAATGATCATTGTTTTTGGCGACCAAATATTATTGGTCGCAGAAGGTTATATTTTGGCGACCAAAAAATGAGTTGGTCGCAGAAAGTGGTATACTTTTCCCGACTAACTACAAATTTGGTCGCGGAAGGTCACATATTTTTTGGCGACCAAATTTTTGGTCGCCAAAAATTTATTTTCAGCAACCAAAAAAAATTAGTCGCCAAATTTGTATTTTTAGCGACCAATATTTTAGTCGCCGTTGATTGAGATTTGGCGACTAAAAAAAAAAAATAATTAAAATTTAAAAATATTAACTAAAAAAAAACTCAATTTTTAAAAAATTAAATTCAGAAAACTGAAACCAAATAAACTCAAAAGTACTTATCAATGTTATATAATTTTATAAAGTATATGAATAATTTTTAATTTTAAAATATATTTAAAAAGAGTAGAAAGCTTGTTTTGGATGAGTAAAAACAATAATAATAATAAAATAGAAAGTTGAACTCAAACCAAACAAGACCTTGTTTTTTACCTTCCCTCCCAATTTCCCCTCTGTTTTTTTTTTTGCTGCTAGGTAAAACCCCTATTCTATCTCCACGATTTTCACCTTGCACAGCCATTCTCTCACGATTGGAAATTCTCTCCCTCTCACAATCGCACACTCGCATAGGTATTTGTCGACCGTCAGGTTTTCGCCATTTACCGTTGCTGTGCTACACCATCGCCTCTTCATTCTAGCTCAGGTAGATTTGTCCGCTCTTTGCTCTATATTCTATTTCTCTCTCTCTCAATTTGTTGTCTGAATCTCTGTTCTATTTCCTTTGTACTTCCTTCGTTTCAGTTATTTGTTTCTTTGTCAAAGGTTCCTAGCATAACCTGCAATTCTATCTGCTTTCTATTGAGTTTTGAACTAGGGGAGGAGAACCATTATATCTCTAGCTTCTAGTTGGATTGCTAGGGCTTTTTAAAGATTTTTTTTCTTGCTTATTTGACGTTATTTCTTATTAGATTGCACTGTAGGAACAATGTTTCTGATTGAATTGATAAGATTGATTCTTTTCAATTTATATTATTATTCTTTGATGCTATCTTTTTTTCTGCTTTGTATTTCTTTTTTTTTCTTGTGCTTTTTTTTCTTAACTTTATTCTTATTATTTTTTTGCATGTTTGCTGTTTTTCTCTGTTGGGTTGTTTGCAATTTGTGGTTTAGTTGATGGGTTTTTGAGATTCATTAAAACCCTAGGATTAAATTGGTAATTTTTGTTCTTATGGTTGGGTTTTTGAATGTTTTTGATTTTTCTCTGTTGGGGCTGCTTGGAATTAGAAGAAAATATATATTTAATTTAGTATGGTTTAATTTGTTTTTGCTTTCCAACTCAACCATGCACAGTTGCCTTAAGCCTCAGCTCTACTTTGTTGTATCATCCGGACCCTAGAATCAAATGGATGATTTCAATTATTGTGGGTTTTGATTGTTTTATAGTGAATTTTGGTGATGCAATATGAATATAAAAATAATAATAAAAAAAAAGAAAAGAATTCAGGTCACATCAATACAAGTAAAGAAAAAAAAAAGACCAAATAATTTAGAATATATGATGATGGTTCATAATCACTGCCCATTGATAACTTTTGCCGACCAAAAATAGACTTTTAGCGACCATCAGCATTTGGACGTGGATTTCCTTGTGATTATTCTATCTGAAAAATTCTTGCAAATTTCATATACGGGAGGCTAATAAATTTTACTTCCCTCTTTTCTTTTCTTTTAAACAAATTGAGATTGTCACATTCCTGGGCTTACACCAGTATGTGTCTGAATTCCCCTCTATTAACTCATAGCAGATAGTGACTAAACAAAGTCGAAGTTTGACCCTAAATCTTCATAATAAAAATGGGCAAAGAGGTCTGAAAATCTTGGGGACACTTACTATCCATGCTGAGGAAACTGTTGCTTCAAGGAATGTTGTTGAGATAACATTTCGCTGTTCGCACTTGGACAACAAGGACCTATTTTCCAAAAGTGTATGTATATGAAGCAGCTGTGCATATGAGTTCTATTTTTACTCTTAGGTTTTTTGGCTCTTATTTGTTTCTTTCCTTTTACTCCTTTCAGGATCCTTTCTTAAGAATATCTAGGATTGTTGAGAGCGGAGGTGCTGTTCCGATTTGCAAAACAGAAGTTGTCAACAACAACTTGAATCCAATTTGGAAGCCCGTATGTCTGACTATGCAGCAATTTGGAAGCAAGGTAAGCTTGTGAGCCTCTTCTGATCAGTGGCTAGGCCTTGTTTTAGGTTTGATATCTGTGGTTTTCTTGTGTCTTTGTTCCAATAAGGAACTTAAGAACTGCCTGAATGGAACGACCCTTAGGATTTTGCATTATTGACTTGGAAATGAAATGCCCACCAGAGATCATTCTAACCAAAAAGAAAACTGTGTTCAGAATCCACTTATATTAACCAATATGCTATGATGATGCAAATGCAGGTAACTGTTAATTTTTCTTTCCTAAATGTTGATTGGTGACAATTCACTTGGTGCAGGATAACCCATTAGTTATTGAGTGTTTTGATTTCAATAGCAATGGCAATCATGTACTTATCGGGTAACTATTCCAATTCTCTCTTTCCAATTAAGTTTCTTGTTTTATATATTTTCGTTTAGTCATTCTGGCTGGGTCATACATACTAAATCTGCAGTTTGTTGTTGACAGTAAACTTCAGAAATCGGTGGCAGATCTAGAAAAAATTGGTGCGAATTTTATTTTTCCATCTTCTCGTAACCGTGCTCATGACAAGGTATTTGTTTCTTACTTGGAAATAGTTTTTAGCTACACATTACATGTACCTGATGCCCAAAAGCCCTGGTATTTATCTATGTATAGGTTCTAAAGGGCCAACTGTTTGTTGATGGCTTTTGTGAGAAGAAACTGTACAGTTTTCTTGATTATATTTCTAGTGGATTTGAGCTGAACTTCATGGTAGCTGTTGATTTTACTGGTAATCAACTTTCAACATTCTATAAAACTACTTTATGGAGCCCGAAGAAGAAAATAATTACTTTGTACTGCAAGTTGCTTGTTTCATACACTGAAGTTTATATTTTTTCCAGCTTCGAATGGAAATCCTCGAAATCCAGATTCCTTGCACTACATTGATCCTACTGGGCGGTTGAATGCTTACCAGCAGGTAAGGTCGTGTGACCATGGATGTTCTCAAATCTGGGATATCTTTTTTTCTTCATATAACTGGCATAATTAGTCCAACCAAGCAGGATAATTTAGTCAGATCGGAGATATCTTATAGTGTGATCTTAGCATAAGTTGCATAACTGATATTTTTATGGCTGTTGCACTCAATAGAATTAAAATAGACTCTTGAATTTTTCCAATGGGGATAACCACCACACCTTGTGGTGCGAGAGGCGATGGTGCCAACCCATAATGATTGGTCAAGGGGTTGACTCCCATACCCCTTCCTACAATGATTTAAGGATTGGCTCAAGCAACCTATCTTACTAATAAGAAAGGCACTATAAGTAGTGATCCTTTCTTTCAAGTGGATTCCCTTGTGTGGAATATAGGTGCCCACATTCTTGTAATGAGTAAATATTATACAGAAATGGTAGGGACCCATAAAATTTATCCAGAAAAAGTGCATTATGTGGTTGAGATTCATTTTAAGTGTGGATCCCACTATACAAAAATTGAATCTGGACCACACATCACTTTTTGGGGTAAATTTTTTGGCATAATATACAAAGAGGGGATGCCTCAAATATACGAGGGGGAAGAAGAAAATACAACAGTACAATCCAGTCTAATAGAAAATTATATAATGATATTACAAATATTATAAATAAATAAATATTGTAACATCCAAAGTATCACACTTGCATTTGTGTTTCATGCAGTTTTTTGTTTTTGAATTTAGTAGAAATACATCTTGGTTGTATATTGTATTGACTGAACTCCTTATAGGTCATAATGGAGGTTGGGGAGGTCATACAATTTTATGATTTTGATAGACGCTTTCCTGCTTGGGGCTTTGGTGGAAGAACATATGACAGTTCTATATCTCATTGTTTTAACTTAAATGGAGGTGCAAGTGGCTTTGAGGTAAAATTCTCTTTGCAAGGAATTAAGAGTTATTGTACTGTCCTTGTCTTTTAATTACTGCTTGATGTTATATCTTCAGAAAGTCTTCCTATGTTTATTCCCCTTGTTCTTTTTTTGATTAACTGCTAGTCCAGTTTTTATGCTAAAGAACCAAGTGTAGTGAACCAATGTTTTTGAAACTCTGGTATTGATTCAAGAATAAATGAATTGGGATGTTTTTTGAAGGCCAACAAGTATACTAGTCATTATGTTGTTTAATTTTTCAAGTTAATAGTAATAGCCAGAACAAAGAAGGTATGAAGCAGGTATGAAGCAGTTAATATGATGTCTATTGTAAGAAGAAAAGTTATGGCAATCAATTTCATGTTTGTTGATGAGGTTTTTTGATATCTTCTCTGATTTCACACATCAATAAGATTCTTTGATATCTTCTCTAATTTCATGTTAAGGTAGATCCTTAGTGTGTCCAGCCTACCAAAGAGATTGTGGATTAGAGTATTATTTCTTTTGTTCTTATCATGCGTCTTACATAGTTCTCAACTATTCAGCTCTGAAGTGAAAATGTTATGGCATCAACTTTTGTCCCTGTATTTTATGTGGTGTATTCAATTGGAAATATTTATGACCTGTTGTGCTGGTCAATATCACTTTAACACAGACCATTTATACAGACTTTAGAAATATGGGAATCAGATAAATAAATAAAAAAAAGGCCGTCCCCTCTAGTGTTTTTTTATTTTTATAAATTAAATTATTTTGGACAAAATATAATAAAAGAAATTAATTTCTCATAACAAATGTCTATTACAAGTCCTAACATGTAGAGAGGAGAATAATGTGGTGGTGAAATCAACAATATACTCGACCGCATTCATTTAGAAAGGCGTTAGGTTTTTAATGTCGATTCTATTATACATGATTTGAATGACATGAAAGAGTGCCAAACACAATTTAGTATGTCTTGCTTTAGCATTTAAATTGTCTGTTACATATGATTTTAATGACATAAAAGAGCTTCGAACACAATTTAGTATTGTCTCACTTTAGCATATAAATTGTCTTATAATTGTTATCTTTTGTAACTCTATGTAGATACAAACAAAAATAAAATAAAAATAGGGAAGCTTATGTTACATTCATTTTTATCTGCTGCCAGAGACTAAAGGAAAGGATACCACTTTTTGAATTGCTATGTTGAGCAGATTTGTCATGCTGTTTCATTTTTCTTTGACTTGTATGTTTCATATGTTGTAATACCAGACCCACACATGGGGAGGTAATCTTAATTTTCAGTGGCAGTATGCTACTTGCACTTCTCTTCCCAGCTATTGATTTATGTGGATAATGATGCTATTGTCCATAATGAAATCATAAAAATCTGTGAGGCCTGCCGTTTATATATACAGAGGTGATGGTCAATTCCGTCTTCTTTTTACAGGTTGAAGGAATAGAAGGCATCATGGCTGCTTATGGTAGTGCTTTGAGGAACGTTGCACTTGCTGGACCCACTTTATTCGGTCAAGTGATCAACACTGCTGCAGAAATAGCTGGTCGTTCGCTCTCCCAGGACAGCAGCAAGTATTTTGTCTTGCTTATTATAATGGTGAATGATAAATTTTCATTTTCTGTTTTTTCCTTTTTTCTTTTTCTTTATTTTTGCAATAAAATAATTTTGAAACAATTCTATAGGATGGAGTCCTTACTGACCTCCAAGAAACTAAAGATGCTTTGGTAATGGCATCTGATCTACCCCTATCCATTCTTATTGTTGGAGTGGGTGGTGCAGATTTCAAACAAATGGAGGTATATTCTTGTTTTCTGTAACAAATTATTTGCATTACATACTCCTGGACTCTTTTCTATTAGTAATTACAGTACCGTACTCGTTTCTTGAAAATGTGAAATGTTGTTCCTCAGAAATTCTCTCCAATGTTTGGTGTGGTATAATTTCTCATTATTTGACAGATCCTTGATGCTGACAATGGACATCGATTGGAGAGTTCTACAGGGAGGATAGCTACACGAGACATTGTACAGTTTGTTCCAATGCGTGATGTACATGGTGAGTTCTTACTTAATTTGATTTACTATTTCAAAGTCTGTAGAATATTTTGGTTTAGAGTTTTGGCCACATTTGGGCAGGACCTAAGAAGCATGGACACGGACACGTGATACGACACGAGTACGACACGGACACGCCGACACGTTAATTTTCAAAAAATGCAGGACACGACACGATGAGGACACGCATGAAATATATAATTTTATATATTTATTATATATTATATATGAATATATCATTCAAAGATAATAAAAAATGCAATATGACACTAATTCTTATAAATTTATATGGTTTTTATTTTATTATTGTATCTTAAGTTATTTTGTTCAAACTTATAATTAGTTTTACGTATGTCTAATCGTTAGACACGTGTGTTTAAACGATTGACACGTGTGTCCTTCAAGTGTCCAAAGAGTGTCCAAGTCTTTAAACAATAGGACACGTTTTGAAGAGTGTCGGACACGTGTCCTGAGAGTGTCCAAAGAGTGTCGGTGTCCGACACGTACCCGACACGGATACGTCACCTTCCTAGAAGTGTCCGTGCTTCTTAGGGCAGGACACATACTGGAATCTAGCACAATTGGCTTTTTAGTGCTCATGAGAGTTTAGTATTTCTGGTATTTATTTTCTTTTGTTAAGCTCAGAACACCTCTAGGATAGGTTTGGATGACAAAGTTTGAGAGGGGGAATGGGAATATTATTCCAGATTCCCATGATTCTAGTGTTTGGAACACATCAAAATGGGAAAATGATTATTAATTATCAATTTCAACAAGTATCACACTCCCCAATTTAATAGGAATCTGATTCCCCCACTTTCCTATGGGAAATCTGTAACGCCCTAAAAAATAACCCATTATATATCATTGACATGCGTTATTTAAAGAAGACAATATATTAATCCATTCATCAGAGTATTACTAAATAAAGCATTACATGTAACATCGAATAAAATGCCCTACAGGCTTACATCTTTCCAAGCCAACACTTGGATACAAAAATATGAGTTCTAACTCAATACAAGAAAAGCCCTAGGCTTGAATGTTTACATGTACTAACAACCAAAAACAAACAACTAAAAAAAAATAGGATGCTGATTATGTTAAATTTTTGTTGGAATGAATTGTTTTTTGGTTTTTGGGGTTTAGAATAGGGTTTTGTGAATCGTTCCTTGTTTTTGGAATCAATGTTGCTGCTGCTGAGTTATGTGTTGAAACTTGGATATAGAAAATTTTATAATAAGACCTGTTTTGATTATGAATTCGTCCTGTTTTGATTATGAATTTGCTAAATATTACATGTGTATTATTTTCCTGCTTTGACGACCAATTTATTAGTCGCGGCATCCAAAATAAATTTTTGTCGTAAAAAATGATAATTGCCGACCAAGAGTCTTGGTCGCAAAAAATACATCTATTGCCGACCAAAACAGCTCTTGGTCGTAGAAACTCACTTTTGCTGACCAAAAGTTTCGGTCGCGAAAAGTAACAAATGGCGACCAAATTTTTTGATCGCGAAATGTGATAATTGACGACCAAACTTTTTGGTCACGAAATGTGACAATTGGCGACTAAGAAATTTGGTCGGGAAAATATCACTTTTCGCGACCAAAGTGTTTTAGAGACAAAAGAAATTAGTCGCGGTAATTAAATATTTAGCGACCAAAAATTTAGTCGGCAAATCCAACTTTTCCCGACCAACGAAAATTTTGGTCGTGAATTACTTTTGCCGACCCTCAATTGGCGACCAAACTAGCGACAAAAAAAATTGGTCGCGGATAACTTTTGCCGACCAAAAATAGACTTTTAGCGACAAATTTTTTTGTTGCCAAAAGTGTTAATTCTTGTAGTGCATATAATTTTTCACATATATATTTCTGTCACATTCCTAACAAATTGTATTCCTTTCTAATTAGTTTCTATTCATTAATTTACATTTATATACCTTGATAATTTAAGGTACTTAAATTCAATTAAATATTTTTATATATGTTAATGATTAGTTTGACAAAGGAATTTATGTGCACACAATTTATTCACTATATTTTTTTTTCAAGTATTCATTTAATTATTCTATGTAATCAAATAGCTTAATTTTGGTTTAAGGCACTTAAAGGTGATTAATTTTTAATTATCGTAGTTGGCATTATTTAGGGTGTTACACAGTAAGACATGAAATTGTAATAGTTTAGATAGTACTGTTTATTGGTCACATGCTATAGATTTTGATTTAGAATCTGTGGATGTATTAATACATGTGATATGCTTTTGTAATATTAACAGTGTTGATGAGTATATAGAATGTTTTGGGATTTAATTATGCTTGTTGAATGAATGTTGTATATCTATATACGTGAGACATGGAATGGATAGTTCAGATCTCTATATATGTTTTTAGGGGCATTACAAGCACTCTAGAGTCAAACCCTTGGACTCATAAAACGTGACACCACCTCATATTCTCATATAGGTAAGCTTACTGAGAGTACCCCTGTAACTATAGTATCCTAACTAACACAATTGTAAGTTTATTAAGAGCCAAGTAGCTCATCCTTTTACGGATCCTAATATGCACTTTTACCATGGATAGATGTAATGAAATTAAGTGCTTGAAATCACAACATACGGCGTACTTTACTCATTGAACACAAGAGATTGAATGGATTAACTGTTGAGTCAAGTTTCCACCAGGAGTGATTATAACGCGGCTTAAGTCCCATCGTCATTGATGTTTTGTACACCGATTCTCTTGCAATTTGTCCATTTTTGATGACTTGAAACCCCAACCAGATTGAATTTCGTTTAGCTAGTGAGAAATTATTTTTAAGATCCCATCTTTTTGTGTCTTGTTATGTCGATCTTTGTTTGAAAGTCGTTGGATTTCAATCTTGCCGCTAATGAATGGCAACGATGTTGGGAGATAAGTATTAGCACAATAACTCATTTGGGTGTTGTACATATAACCTAAGTGCATAGGTTTGTATTTGTAGTTGTTGATCAAATAATGGGTTTTGACTTTGGTTGGTGGTAGGAGAATGATACATATTATGAGGTTGAATTTTGTGGGATGAGAATGTTTTTCAATGAGTTAAAGTGTTGGTTGGTTTGTAGTTTATAATAGATGAGGAATGAGAAGTGCTTACTTTGTTATGGAACATAATCTTCAAATGTTGAAAAATGAAAGGAAAATATTTTACTATGCAAAATAGAAGAAAATATTTAACACTATAAAATCTTATACACCAACACAAACAGAGCCTTAGTGTAAGGAGGAAATGACTGTTGGAATTTATACAAAAGCACACCCACACACATACCAAAGAAAAAAACAATCATGCACAAATTTACATGATTTGAACCAAATTGCATACATCCACAGGAGAGATTTCTCTATGAATAAAATAGAGAATACATGTGAGATGGTTAAAATACTCAAAACTCACACCACTACCCAAACCCCATGCTCAACGGTAGTTGAGCCCTTGCTTACTCCGATGTCCATAATATTTTTTCCCTTGCCACTCTTTTAATCTCTCTCAAAAAATCTTATAGCTCACATGACTATTTATAATAGTCTACCCATGAGAATCTTAATTCCATACAATAAAGTAACCAAATTGTACACATATTGGGTCTCCTAATAGATTCCTAACTCTACTATCCTAACCTAAATACATGTATTAGTCAACCTAATAACTGTATGGGACCTACTTTTATCACATGGGTGGACTAATCCTAACAATCATACCTTCCACCCATGTGGGGAAAATGTAATATGCACCTCCAACTTGGATGTCATGATTTGCGTGATACACTCCATCTTTACCTTAAAGATGTTGCGCCCCCTGAATTGAGTGTCCACATTATTTGCACCTTATACAATATTGCCCAAATGTGTCCTTCATAGCTTTTTCTATCCTTATACTCAAACCCAGGAGAACTACCGAACCTCCTTGAGGTGTCTCCACTGGCACAAATTAAACCTCAATAGAAAATAGACTCGCGTCATACCTCAATGCACACCTTCTTGTCACAACCTCTATCTCAATTTCTAGCACGAACCTCTTTTTTTAGGAATAATCTGCAACTCGTTATGTTCCTCGTTGGCAAGTATCCTCTGCAACTGTTGCTCACACTATTCACCCATAACTCGTACTAGAAGTTTGATGTTTGACATCAGCTTCTATATTGTCACAACATACTCCACGAACTTGTACAAGCTGCCAATCATGATGTCCAATCAAAAAAACACTACCTGATTGACCCCACAATGATTGGACTTCCTTATTGATTGAGTCTGATTACTTCTACATTACCCTTGATCACTCGCAGTCAAATTCGATCACCTAGATCACCGCCAAATCTATCCAATCCCTTTAAACCTATTTAGAATCTGAAAATTCTGACCGTACCGATGAATCCACAACAACTAAAAACCTTGAAAACCACCTTCACCTTGAAGTTTTCTATTATATATACACACCGATATAACAAAAATATTCTAGATCATTGTGTGATATCCCTGTTCCGTAATATGTTAATTGGTCCTTAAAATGAGTATGATTATGTGTTTAATATGATTTTGTGTGCAAGTATGTAAAAATATGTGGTTTTGAATTTCTATCTGTTTACCGTAGGAATATCTGTTTGATTATCTGCTTTCGAAATTAAATTGAAGGCCTTATCGGCCACCGAAACGAAAATTGATTGCGCCATTGTGATTGGCATAATTTTTAGGGCCTACGGTGAAATTTAATTGAAAGTTGATTCGGACCAGATTAAGTTGATTAAATTGGTGAATTAGTGCCCAATTATTTATTATTATTATATTGTGTTGAGAGGAGGCCTTAATACACTCTCCCTTACTTCTATTGAACTCAAAAAAAAATCTGAGTTATACAATTGTAAGAGAGAGAGGGCCGGCCATAGAGAGAGAGAGGGAGAGACTTGTGCAATTTTTGGCTCAAGCTTGGGAATTTGAAGATTGAACTCGAGAATTGGCTAGAACTTGGGTGTTTGAAGCTCCTAGGTGAGTAAATCCATGAGTTTAATGTGTAATTTTGTGTATTCAAAGTTGATTAATGATCAAGAGCAAGAATTAAAATGAATTT